GCATTCATATTTTTATATACAAATACTATTAATTATTTAAACAGCATGAGAAATGCTATTGCAATGCTAAATGAAAAAAGCTATCTACTAAGTTAATAGACATATGCTTTCAAGTATATGAATAATTATTTTTTAAGAAAAGGTAATAGCTTAAAATAGAAATAGTAATTAATAGAATTTTTTCTTATGTTTTTCTGTATTATTTTTATAATCATGAAAAAAATAATGAAAGCTATATTTTTCATTAGCACTATTCTATATTACCTGACTTATTCCACTAACTCCAAACTACAGTGTTCAAGTTCATGGTGAAATTCCAGGAGTTTCCTCTGGGTACAAAAGGAACCCAGTGAAAATGCTGTCATCCTCAGCGCTGACATACAGCCCATTCCAATCTTTTGAAACTTCCAGCCAGACTTGGTCCCCTGCATTTAACTTTAGGATGATGAGGAGAGAGGCCTGGTCTATTTCGTGACCGTAGAGCGTTTCCCTGGACTTGAACTGCTTCTTATTCCAGGCCACCAGGCTGATCCGAGCAGGCCGGGCCCTCACCGTGACGTGGTAGGAAAACACATATGCCCCGGGAACACTGCAGTTAAATTTCCCAGTGACAGGGCTGTAATTCCCTTGGTCGTTATAGAAAACCTTGTCAAATTTGATAGGGGCATTGGGAGGAGGGAAAGGCTTCGATAAAGCTGCACTGAAAGCTGACCGCGGGACTCGGGCCACCTGCCCCTTGGAGCCTTTGAATCCCCGAGAACCCTTCTTCCCAATAGATCCTCGGGCCCCTTTGCTCCCAAGCTCACCCTTTGGCCCCGCAGGTCCCGCAAGACCCGGAGGACCTAACTCTCCCTTTTCTCCTTTAGCTCCTGGATCACCTTGGGCCCCAGGCAGGCCATCTGGGCCTCGTTTGCCTTCTGTCCCCGTATCTCCTTTGTCACCTTTTTCTCCTTTCATCCCCACCTCCCCTTTTTCCCCCTTGGCGCCCCTCTCCCCAGAATCTCTGCAGTGACCCTTATCCCCCTGCTCCCCTTTCTCCCCCTTAGCCCCAGGCTCTCCGTGCAAGCCTGCTGAGCCCACAGCCCCTGGGTCTCCTTTATCTCCTTTGGTACCATTTACAAACGTGTCCCCCTTGGAGCCTTTTTGTCCTTTCACTCCCGCTGGTCCAACGTCTCCTCTGTCCCCTTTAGGACCAAGTCCACCTGAAATGGAAAATTAAAATAATGCTTAAGGACCACATAGGCTGCGAACAATGTACTATTATCACAGCACTCATGACATAGATGCAAAACCTCCTAACGAGGACTGGAAACCTGGTTCTTGCCTCAGTAATGGCTGTGTGTGAGGAAACTCACACTGAACCATTCATATCATGCTGCTGTCTCATTAGAGGAAGAGTTC